GTTCAAATTACTCAAACTAAATTTCGGCAGAGTTTCGCCTTATTTTTCTCGTTTCCCTAGTTTTCAATAACTCATTCTAATTCTGATTTCGGTACCTTGAGTCAAGATTCATATTCTTGAACACAAATTCCAACATAAAATTGAACAAAACACATTTTCTCCATTTCTAGGGTTTTCGGATTTCTTAGTGTAAATCTAAAATTTTTTGTTCAATCGTTTCCATAATTACACGTTGAACTCCTATCTTAGTCCCCGACAAAACCTCAGTTTCATTTTTCAATTTTTCAGATTTTTTCTAAGATGAGTTACTATTCATCAAAACAAAAAAGCAAGCAGTTTCTCATGAAAAATTCGAAATCTTACCTCGAAAAGTTGAGATTTCCTACTAGAATGCCTTGGGTTGCGTTTCTACCGGATTGAAGGGAAGAAATTTCGGTGAAATCGGGTGATTCCTTGATTTTCTCTTGATTTTCTCTCTTTTTCCTCTTTTCCCTCTTCTCTCGGCCACACATAGACAAGAAGAACAAATGTGGCTTCTAATGTGCTTCCGTAGGTCACTTTTAAGTGTAATGAATATTATAATAATATTTTTAATAATATCTAATATTACTTTTTAAATTAAGGAAAATTACTTTAATTTCCATAATTAATTTTACTAACTCTAATTAAGTTTAACACTTAATTTAAGTGGTTCTATGTTCTCCACATTTCTCTTGTCGAGACTAAACTTTCCGTTTCTCGAAACTAGTTTCTTTCCGGTACTGATAGTTCCACAACCAGTACAGGTTCTCTACTGCTTTTCTGGACTGTCGAGCACCCTGGGTCAAACTTCTCATGTCCAACCCAATTCTCTTGGGTATCTCGTTAGTCAACTTCTTTTTTTGAAATTTTCATTCTTTGATTCAGAATTGCCCAAAATTCGTACCCTTACGGTACTCATTTTTTTAGTAGTTTTCCGTTTTAACTGACTCGGGAAAATTATGTTTCAGAAACTTTTGCTATTTTCCTTACTTCCAATATTTCTACTCTTTTTCTAACTGGTCATTTGGTCACAAACCAAATATTTCAGTTTTTCATAACTAAAATATACATGTTAAAATTTTTAACTTTTAACTGATATTTCACTATTCAAAATTGATATTTACGAATTTTTTTTGAAAAAATATTCATATTATAACCTTACACTTTCGGGAGATTTTACCCCGTACATAAAATTTTTACATAGCATTTCCTTGATCAAACTGAAAATTCTACTGCTTTTCATTCTGGAAGAATTTATGGTTAAAATGTCGAACTGTCCAGACCTAAAATTTTCCCGGTCGTTACAATAAATGCTTTAAAAGCTACGTCTTTAAATGCTTTAAGAACTACTCTTGACTCCAATACATTATCCATTAACCAAAATGATCCTATGTGCCTAAGAGACAACTCAAACAAACATCAGAAATCAAAAAACTAATCCTGAAGACTCAGTCAAACAATGACCACAACTCCTTTTATTCAATATATATGATAAAACTAGGAGAAGAGATGCTTTGTATTTATTAGCTTTTTTTTGTTGTCTTGCAGATTTAAAAAATAATGAAGAGATGAAAAAACTAGGAGAAGAGATGCTTAAACACTGTGAGGGTTTGCCATTAGCCATTATTGTGCTTTGTGGACTTCTCTCAACGAAATGCACAATTGAAGAGTGGGACAAGTTGCGCGAGAATGTGAAAGAATATATAAACAAAGGCAAATTAGTGCATGTAGAACAAGAATACCATAGCGTTTCGTCTATATTAAGCTTGAGCTATGACGAGCTACCATATCATTTAAAGCCATGTTTTTTGCACTTGGCCCATTCCCCGGAAGATCATGAGATGAAGGTCAGCCTATTATGTCATACGTGGATAGCAGAAGGTTTCATTTCATTGGATCAACAAACACAGAGTTCAATGGATGACGATGTAGCATATCATTACTTGACGGAGTTATTGGACAGAAACATGATTCAAGTGGGAAGGTTGGGTCCAACTGGAAGAATAAAATCATGCCACATTCATGATCTCATGAGGGATATGAGTTTGTTCAAAGCTCGAGATGGAAAGTTTTTGCAATTTTTCGATCTGAGGAGAAGAGACGTGGTATTGCCAAGAAATAAGGTACGGAGACTTGCCATCTATACTGATCGTGCTTTTGATGATTTACTTCCTTTTATTAATGGCAGAGATGGCTCTCTTAGGTCTCTCATATATTTTCAATCTTGGGGCACTGAACCTTCGGAGAAAGTATTGAAACTTTTCTTCAATCACTTTAAGTTCCTTAGAGTTTTGAGACTCGAAGCTTTTGGTTCAGATATTGATCGTTCATGGAAGTTGCCTAAGGAAATTGGGAAACTTGTCCACTTAAGGTTGTTCAGTATTCGTGGTAGCAGGGTGGAAAAGATCCCATCTTCTATTGGGAATTTGAGATGCCTGGAGACTTTAGATTTGAGGTCAGAAGATGTAGAAATACCTAATGTGATATGGAGGTTGGAGCAATTGCGACGTTTATACTTACCTACCGGTGGTGCGTATTATACTTTCAGCAAAGATCGTTTCCGACTGCCCAATGTCAAGAATAGTTTGCAAACATTGTGCAATGTTCGTACAGAGCATGTTAATGTAAATGATTTTTTGCAACTGACTAATCTCAAGAAATTACTACTCGTGGTGGGTGAAGACTCTGGGAGAATCTACCAAAATTGCACAGGCGTCAAATTTACTTGCGTCCGCTCTCTATCGTTGTTGGAAGACTCGTTGTTGGCAGATGCTGAAGACATTATACCTGTAATATCATGTTATCCTGAAATTTATGAGCTTAAAGTGCACATGGCAATAATAAGGTTACCAGAAGAGCACCAATTCTCCCATAAACTTGAGAGGTTATCATTAACGAGGACACTTCTCGAGGATGACCCAATGAGAACGATAGAAAAGCTACCCAATTTAAGGGCCCTCCACTTTGGTGATTACAGCTTTGTAGGGAATGAGATGGTGTGCTCAAAAGGTGGTTTCCCTCTACTTGAATCTCTTTCCTTTGATGGCTTAGTCTTGGAAGAGTGGAGGATAGAGGACGGAGCATTAACTAGTCTTTGCTATCTGAGGATTCGTGATTGCCATTTCTTGAGGAAGCTTCCAGATGGATTAAGAAACGTCACAACTCTCAAGGAAGTGAAGATTGAATACTGCAAGCCGAAACTCACAAAGAGATTAGAGGAAGGAGGAGAGGATTTCTACAAAGTCCAACATGTGCCTTCACTTGTAATCACTTAATAGGTAATTTTTTCAATCACACAGTTCCTTCTACTTAAAAGGTTAACGTAGTCCTTTTAAACTCAATATTCTAATTCTATGTCTACCCTATATAGGACTTTGTCGGCACACTTTGAACAATAATTTTTATATTTGTCTGATATTTCTTATTTATATAACACCTTTTTTGTTGACTTTTAATGTTTAATAATTTGTCGTGTGTGCAGTGAGAACATATGGTGAATATAAAGATATGTTTGAGTGGAGCATTGACCAGAATAAGAGCTTGGACCTTGGGCCAATGCTGCCATTATCGGAGTTTCTTCTTGGTTCCAAAAAAGAATATATTTTTAATTATGAATTAGTGTGCTTAGTTATATTTTTACCGTTACCGTTGTTGGATATATATATATATATATATATTTATATATTTATATATTTAGTTGTGATTTGTTTGACTCCGTTTAAACAATAATATTTCTGCTGTTGTTGAATTTATATCCGATATTTGAACCTGATTTAGAAGCGTGGGGAGCTTTCGGTGTTGAGATTAATTAATTGTTGGCTTGTATTTTTCATTGAATGTTAGCATGTTTATATACACAACCTATTGAGTATTGACAGTATAAATTGAAACTAACTTTATATTTACAGCTAACGTCGAGAATCAAAAGCACATTAATTATAATGAAATACAATTAAAGAAATGATATGGAAATACAATTAAAGAAATTATATGGAAATGAATTATATTATGTCTTGACATGTGTACATATGCTTCATTTTGCTTGGCTTGGTAATTCAAGCATATATGATGAAGATATAGTACTATATTTGGAAAAAAAAAAAAGAAAAAGATGTACTGTTAGAATTCTAGATCTAAATTTTATTCATAGATCTAAATTTTTGTAGACCTCAATGTTTAATAATTTGTTATCAGTTTAAAATTCAAAACACGTAATCTGCTTGGCATATTCCAGTTTCAGTTTCCTTGACCCAGATTCTCAACACTCCAATCTCTTTTTAGATGATATTTTGATCTTCAAAACGAATTCATCATGAAATACGGTTTTGAATAAACCTTTTATTCAAACTAAAATAAAATCTTTAACAGATATTTGTTTCAATTTCAAATCCTGGTTTAAATCAAAAATACCAACACAATCTTGATCTTTTCCACGAAATCCTCAAAGCCTTATCTTAATTCAAAACTGTAAAGCTAATTTCTTCTATTTGAACGAACCCAAAAGCTGATCTTCTTTTATTTGAACGAACCCAACAAATTCGAAAGACTAACTCCAGATTTTGTCAAAACGCACAGCATTACTTAAGGAACCAAACGACTCAAACAAAAGCTGTACGACATTTCTAGACACTTTCAAAATAAACAATCTAAACATGAAGTCCAACTAAGCCAACCAAAGTCCAAAACATAAAAAGAGAGCCAAAACGACTCACACGACTCAACAATAAGAATTCAATCATGGTTGTTATCTGTAACAGAGGATAGTATGTACTTCTTGTGGCTAAGGCTTTAGAGCCAACACACCGGATGAACAGATCAAAGCAAATGAAGAACATCCAAGAACAAGAACACGAACAATTTCTAATGGTTCGGACAATCTGGTTTACCATATCTCATCTACTAAAGCTTGGAATGTTAACTCCGAACCGCTATCATCAGAAGCATTATAAGAGCAATGCATTTGTTGCCTCAATTTCAAACTTAAAAGAGGATCACATGAGGGATTATTCGCTTAGATGAAGAAGAGTAGATCCAGCCCCTGAAACTAAAGCATAAAATTATTGAAAAATGAAACTTTGTAGCATGTGATCAAACTTCTTCAAAGAGAAGTCCAAGAAAACAGAGTTAATTTAGATTAAAGTTAAGAAGAGGAAGAAAAAAAAAAAAAGAAGAAAAAAATAGAAAGAATGAACAAGGCCATCGTTTTCTTTGATTGATAAATTTAGGGAACTGGTGTATTTGAAAGCGCATCACAGGAAGGACGATACAGACAAGACACAAGGTGTTCAAACTTAGATGTAGAGATCTCATTTTTTTTTTCTTTTTCTTTTTTTTTTTTAAGATTATTGAGGTCTAATGTGAAGATCTCACATGTGAATTCATGTCTTTTGCTTTGACACTGCATTGCTTTTGTCATGTGTGTGTGCCTTCAGCCAGCTAAATCTGCAGAAAAGATAAGACATAATAAATGGAACAAAATGAAACTAACAGAAGAAAAAAGAAAAATAACAAAAAGCTTAGTCAAGTTCCTACAGATAATTCATTTATTGTTGGCTGATCATTTTGAATCTTCCTGTTTGAGAATTCAATAAGAGATGCCATGGTGTAGCCTCTTGTTTCTTTCGGACCTGGCCATTTTGATAGTTGATTCAGTTCGTTTTTCAGCTTTAGATATCATAGAAAACGAGATTTGATAAGTTTGTTGTAAACGATACATAGTCGTAAATCTGCTTAGGATAATTGATTTTGTTGCGCACATTTCATGTTTTGACTTGGGCAATCTGTTGCGAAAACATGGCAAATAATTCAAGTCTACTTTACCTCCCAAGAAATCTGTAATGCCTAACCCTTGGGCTCCAAAGAATGACTGAAAAGAAAAGTCCAATCATTAGAATCCCACAAATAATTCTAGGGGTTTACCATCAACCCCACTTCCGTCCCTCACTTTTAAAATGTCCCACAATTGACCCATATTCTATTTGTTACTTGCCTTATTAGTTGTAGTAGTTCTTCGGAAATTGCACAATGCTGATGAAACCGTGTTGATCACCAAAGTTGGTGGCTTGATTGCTGATAAAAGAACAAAGAAATTCCACAAGCTGCTAATCATTTGCGATGTGAAATCTCCGAACATCTTCACTCCTGCATCCTGCACTAGAGCAACAACAACTAACTTTTCAAATGTACTAAAACTTAGATGACGATTAGAGGGGCAAGAATAAATTAATCTTTAATTACCTTAACTAAGCACACGTGTATACATGAGATCATCACATTAAATTTTAATTGATTGGACTCTGAACTCCCGAATTAACAGCATAATCTTGATGCTTGGCGTTATTGAGCTCTGTTATTTGGAATTTGATGCTCAACAAAACTTTTGGTCCCGGTGTCATTGACTGTCGACCGATAAAAGTTAGCTGCAGTTGCAAGAAACAATGAATAAACTTAAATATATTTTTCACAGCAACAACAGGAGGAAAAGTAAAGCATGTATACGTTCTTTAATTACAAAGTCCAACATGTGCCTTCACTTGTAATCACTTAAAACGTAATATTTAATAATATAAATAGTAATTAATCATTAGTTAATTACAAAGAATGGTTTCCCAGTTTGTCGTTCTTAAGTAAGATCAAACTTATCTATGAGATGGTAAATGAACGGAACCAAAATCCAGGACAACAATGCATTGGAATCGAAAAGGAATAATCATATTAGAATTTTGCACATACATGTAACATAGATGTAATTTCTTTATATTCTTACAAAATATAAGATACCATAGAAACAGATTTTCCTATTGGATGATTTATATTTTATCCTCATTAGTCTATGCTTTCACACTTAACTTCTTATATAGAATCCACAGACTAGTTTCTAAAGTGAACTCTGAAGTTGCTTTTACTTTAAGGGATAAGTTAGCTTTTTTCTAACCAAGCTCAAAATAAGAGCAAAAAGGATTAATCAGACGCCATGACTACTATTCAGTGAGACTAACCAATACATGCAACGTCGGTCTAATTTTTTCTTTTTCCTGCTTATTTGCTGTGGTTATTTCATTCTAATTACCTTACTAATCTGGGCCATTTAGTATAATTAGATGGTACAGATAATATCAGTAAAATCGAAACACATATTTCCTCTTTGTTGATCGTATACCACAAATGTATGTGCCATTCCGTTCTCTTACGAAATTCGATTTTCTTATTACTGTGCTCAGAATTCCGTTCATGTGGTTGAAACCTCTAACAGATAATTAATGGTATTCACTTTTTGTGGCTGTGGATGAACAGCCTGTTATGCGGAAGAACAATTCCATGTTAAGGCTTCTAATGGATCAAACACCAGAAGAAACTGATCAATGCAAAAAAGAAAAAATCGAGAACGAGAAGATCACTTTCCTTTTTTTTTAAGTTGGAATGGGATGGGGGATTCCAACTCTACATCTTGTGGTATTGTCACATGTCTCCATTTTAATCTCGCTTATTTTTTACTCCTCTTTAATTTTTCATAGTTCGCAAATTAACGAACCTTTAAATATACAATGATTAATCACCTCGAGGTGATTACACATTCGACTCTACCATAATCATAATTCCAAACAAGATAAAGAAAAAGAGATTCGTAATTTGGAAATGACCGGCTTAATTATTATTTTATTGTGGGGTAAAACATACCTGGAATGCTATCCAACAACAAGAATCTTGAATAGTAGATTTCGTCATCAATTGTTTCTTGGTATTATATATTCAATCATTCATATACTTTTGATGACCCCACCTTCGGTCTATGCTGTCACTTTAAGGTGTCTTTAGTTGCAGTGATAGAATAATAATAGAATGAAATTAGAATGTGTTGTTTGATTAGAGTTATAAGATGAATACCTGAATGAGGATTAGGTTATTTGATTGACAATGGAATGGAATGAAAATAAACTGTATTTTGATAAAAATATCCTTAATTAATAATTTTAAATAATTTAATATTTTAATTAATTAAAATAGTAAAAAATTAATTTAATTATTGAAAAAAACTTTTTATTTGAAGGATAATAATTTAAAAACTATATTTCAATTGTAAAAAAATATATATATTTGATATTTTAATGTAATAATAAATTATCACAAGTTCAAATATGATAACTTTTCCTAGTCTGCCATGATATGTTCCCTGAAAAATATAACTTTGGCCCCTGTCAATAATAACAATGACAATATATCATTCAACTACATATATAATCTCAAAATATATACATATACCAAGTGAAGTAAGTTTCTAATTAATACAATTTAACAAAGTGAAGAAAAGTTGTTTTTGGGATATTGAAGATGAAGAAGAAAGCCTTTTAACCTATGTAAGTGCAAATACGGCCACTTTATATTTTTCTTATATATACGCTACAACAAAAACATTCTCTCACAATATCAAAAGTTTATCAAAAGCAACAAAATATCAAAATATCAAAAGCAACATATGAACTATCCGGCAGCAGCAAGCAAGTCGAGCAACTCCTGCTGTTCACCCTAAGCATTTTCTGCATCACAAAAAACTAAATAAGCAATTGCCTAGTAAGTAGCACCCTTAACAGTCTATACTCATTTCAGTCTAAAATCATTTCTAGTCAAAACAGTCCTGGCCCCGTCAAGTATAAAACAGGCTTAGTACTTGATAGGCCGTGAGTTTTCAGAACCTGTTCTTTTCAGTGGAGTGGTTACTCAGCTTTCAGCCAAGCATTTCATTAAACAAATTGCATACACCTCACTAAAACACATTTGAACAGAGCAAAAATGAACCAAAACTCCTCCAAATCATGTCTTAAATCAGATCAAAGCAAGAGAAACACACACTCAATTCAACAATAACTCACACTAACCAACTAAAAATGTGTCTATCTACAAAGAATTCATCTCTAACCAGCGCGTAAACAAAAAGCCCATGAAAACCTCATGAAAAAGCATGGAACCACAATTCTAATACAAGAAAAACACATTACCTTAGCTGGTGTACAAGTTGGCCACTCAAATTGGGTTTAAACTTCAAATTTATCAAGTGAATCGAGGAGAGAGATAGTGTCCAGGTAAAAGCTACTTTGCCTAGTGGCTACAACAGACAACAAATAAGCCTTTTGGTTTTGCGAACTTAAAACATGGTCAAACTAGCAAACTCTTGCTGAAAACATGAAAGATTTACAAAATCGAACCAGGGATTTCCAGCATTCTTGCACCAGGGAGAAACTTACCTGATCAAAATTTCACCAAGATTTCCAGTGAATTGTCCATCAATAAACTCTTCCGTATTGGCAAAATTTCACCAAAATTTCACCAAGATTTTTCACACAAAAGCTAGTGTGGAAGTTGAAAAAATACCTGCAAGTTCATGTAAGAATTCACAGAGACAAGAAAACCTGAAGACAAACCCAACAGAAACGAGAGTTACGAAATTACAGTGTTCATGCCAATTAAGCCAAAAATGAATATATATATATATATATATATATGTGTGTGTGTGTGTGTGTGTACGTATAAATGTAGCAAAAAACCTTTGTACTCCGTCCCCCATTTGAGCTTCACAATGATAGTCTTTCCAGTCAAATTGTTCAAAAAAGGTTTCGGGTTAACCGGAATCGTCTGCAAAGATCCAAATACATTGTGTTATATCAAATACCAAAGCGAATTTCTCGAATAAATGAATCAAAATCAAATCATCCGACCTAAATTCCTTCGGGGAAAGATAAAAATAGAAAAAGTATCATATTTGTTTATTGTATAGATGAGAGAGAGAGAGAGAGAGAGAGAGAGAGAGAGAGAGAGAGTAAAGAGCATAAGAAGAAACTCACAGCCATTGACGAGCTTGGAGGAGCTTAGGTAGCTGAAGGGCTGTGTGGTTTTTCCCTCTCGGATCTCTCTGCTTCTTCTGCTTTGGTTTGCAGAAAAATGATTCCAGAAAAATTATTGAGGTCTCGAAAAGCTTCGTTAGGGTTCGGGAATCGAGGAGAGAGAAGCCGGTGACGGGTGGTGGATGCGTAGAGAGCTCGGAGTTGGTTCGGGAGCTTCGAAGCTATGGCGTCGATGGTCAATGGCTGGAGCTCGGTGGTCGAGCAAGAAATGAGGGCTAGGGCATCAGGGAGTTTTTGGGAAAAACGTGAATCAGGGCTGAATGGAAAAACCATTCCACAGCCCCACGTGAATGCCATTCACTCAAAATTTTCCTACGGAAAGCTCATTCTAACCTAAAAAATAAACCAAATAATGGAATTAACTGGAATGATATTTCTTTTCCATTTCATTCCTCTCAACCAAACGCAGTCTCAGTGTAATGCGAAAGCCAAAATGTCAAAAGGGGATATAAATTAAAAACTTTGTGGTTGAGAAAAGATATAAACTGAAATGTATGATTTTTTTTTTTAAGTTTATTTCACTCTGCATATTTAACGCTGGAATCGTACTGTTTTTGAAAATGGGTAATGGATGAATATTATGTACATGTTTGGTATAGGTCAATATCATTTGATTTTATTCCAAAAAACAAAAAAAAATTATTTGATTCCGCTTCGTTTGAGTGGAGTGTCTTCAAACTCGGAAGGTTCAACATTTATGTTTTATTGAGTCTAATGAGATATTTTTTCACCACAAATTTCTCCCCTTTTCTTTTCCCTTTTTATTTAGATAAAAAATGAAGTTTTGTAGTGTGAAAAATAAACTGCAACTAGTTTGTTTGTTTGTTTGTTTTTTTTTTTTTTTTTGAGAATTTTCTATGGTAGGAGCTGCCCTTTTTTGCTACTAATAGGAACTATTATATTAACTCTGAATTAATGTTTTAAAAGTTTAATTTATTATTGAGAACAGTTTTGTTATGCCACGTCATATAAAAAATTTAAATTACTTTTTAATTAACTATTTTATACTTATCATAAAATATTGTAATTTCTCATTTAATTAATTAAATACCAATTAAGATATTAAAAATTGAATAGAAAATCTGTATCCATTAGCCAATCTAAAAATGTCTAAGAACCTATAACGTCCATTATGTGACAAGGCATAAGAGTAGAACTTACAACTTCGTCCATTAAGGGAGGCTCTTGATCTTGCTCTGTTTCATGAAAGAAGATACAAGTTTATGACTTCCAAAATCTATATCTAATCACTAGTTTTCTCCAGATAATCTTATCAGTTATCATTGTCAGAATTTCTAATCGACCAAGAATCTAATGCAATACACAAAACTAAAAAAAAAAAAAAAAGAAAAAAAGTTTCTGGTCAACAAAATTCCTTGGGGATGCGCCAAATAAACTTCACCGACGCCACCTTTAGGAGATAGGATCGGTAAATTTTAATATTCCCAATGATATAAAACGTCGACAATTATTGGACCGACACGTTTTCTTGTAGTGACAAAAGCAGTACTGCCCCAAGGCAACTTGCCTCAAGTAAAGACAAATCTAATAAAAGCATTACTTTTCCAAAAGCATTACTTTTCCAAGCGTTCACACCTCTCCATTTTTATTTTCATTTTTTAAGTTTTTTAAGATTAAAAAATAAAAACATAAACATAAAATACGTTTAACCTATAAATTTTTTAAAAATAAAAATAAAACTATTTTTATCTTTTGTGAAAAATTAAAAATAAAAAAAAATATTTTCATTTTCTCGTTTCTATTTTCTAAAAACGGATATCATTTTCTTCTCTTTCTTTTCTAAAATCATTTTTGTCTTATATAATGATGTTTATTTAATATATTTAATTATTTTAAATATTTAATAATATTATTTATTTAATATATTATTATTTTAAATATTATTACATATTTTTAAAAATTAAATCACCAAACGCAGTTTTAATTTTTTTAAAATTAAAATCAATCTCTGAATAAAACTACCCAACATATTTCAAAAATAATTTTAAAATAAAAATAAAAATATTTTTATTTTTATTTTCACGCAGAAAACAAAAACATTTTAAAATCAATTCTAAACGCATCACATTTATTTACTTCTTTTCCTTGAGATCTGTACCCAATGGAATCTATGGTCAATTCGTATTCGAGGAAAATGACCAATCAGACGCTGCCTCGTATTGTGATATTATTGTCTAATATTGTTTTCAACAATTTTTAGGATCCAAATGATCCGGCATATATATATATATATATATTTACGAAATTAGAGCGATAATAGGCAACGAAAAACGAAATCAAGAACACATAAATAAAGTCGTGCCGCGAGCTCTTTGAATCGGGCTAAAATAGAAGAGCATAAAACATATATAGAATATTAACATTGAAAAGCTTAAGATCTTAACGATTAACGAGTAAATATAAACTTTTCCTTTTTTTTTTTTTTTTTTTTAACATTAACGAGTAAATATAAACTTTTTCTTTTTTTTTTTTTTTTTTTTTTTTTAGTTTATCAATCTATCCCAAAAACTTAAGCTATTAGGAGGTGGATCAATAATAATTTTATACTTTAACACTCTCCCTCACATATGGATTGGACAATATGTAATCATGTGGATAAATTAATTAGAAAGCCCAACACGTGAATATTTAAGCCCGAGATATATTAAAAACCCAATACATGATGACAATTTAAATGGGGATAAAGAGTGCAATTACGGGAGTTTGAACCTAAGACTTCCTGTTCTGATACTATGTTAGTTTACCAATCTATCCAAAAGCTTAAGCTATTAAGAGGTGGACCAATAATAATTTTATACTTTAATATGGTTAATTGGAGTGTCATTCAAATTTGTTATTGTTGATTTTATAATCATTTTTTTCCTAGTTCTCTCGACCCTACACGGTGAGACCATTTTTCGGTCATAGAAATTAAAGGATGAAATTTCGAGGAAACGCCGAGGAACAAGCACTAAAGTGCTAATTACGGCCTCGTTCACTTCGCCGATTCGAATTTAGAATTCAAGTTTTGGCTATAGTAAAAAGCTTTCAGAAACAATCATATCTAACTTTTTTACTACAGTAAAAAGCTTTTACATAACATTACATCTTAACTCGAATTAGCAAACTAAACGGGCCCTACTTTACTGGGACAAGGTTGAAAAAACAAAGCCAAAGCAACACGGTTGGTTTCAAGATCAATTTGCAACACGTTCCGCAATCTTTAAACATCATCATTATATTACGACAAAGATGAAATCTTTACAACAAAAACAGAATAATACACAAAGGGCCCGTTTACCATGAGCTAATGAGATCAGAAAACAAAGTAAAGTAATATGATTAAAAGTCATTAATTTTTTTAAGTGTTCACTTAATTATTAGATGATGTAATGAGAAATTTATTTTTTTTATATTTATTAAAATTAAAAATAATGACATCATTAATGTAATCATCAAAATGTGCGTTTTTATTAAATTTAAATGTGTTCTGGTGATTTATTTTATTATGCCTTTTAAAAAAACACAAATCATACGAAACGCATTAACTTAATAAATTTTGATAATCAAATATCATAAATAATTAATAATGAGATAAATTGACATAAGTGATAAAATTCATGGAGTGTTTATAAACATTTCTATTAAAAAACTTAAGAGAGTTTTTTTATTAGTATATGTAATGAATTTTATTAGTTTTTTTTTCTTACTATTTCACCTAGATAGAAGTGTTTGACGTAAAATATGTTTATGCTTGATACATATATTGCATTTTTAAATTTAAATGCGTTCAGACCATTTATTTTATTATATTGTTTTAAAAAAAAACACATATCTTAAGAAATTCATTAACGTAATAAATTTTAGTGGTCAAATATCATAAATAATTAATAATTTAATGATCATAGTAATATTTTCGTTTAAAAAATTGATAGAATCAAAATAAAAAGAGAAAAATTAAAAACATAACATAATTTATAAGATAAAATAGATATATTTTAAAATTTAAAAGACATATTAATAGAAATAATAAAATTTAAAAAGTATTTATAAGTATATCTATTAAAAATTAAACGATCTTAACTTCAATAGATATATTGACACAAAAAAAAATTTAAAAATCACAATATATACATTTAAAAATTGAATTTATAAAATTTGTCGTTTTCTGTTAAAATGACGGGAGGTTGGGTCACTAAAAGTATATGAATAATTGAATACAGACAACAAACAATTGATGTGAAATCTACTTTCCAAGATTCTTATTGGATAGCTTTCCAGCTGTTTGAAGATCTATGGTGCCAAAAAAGATGAAAAGGCTTTATTATTATCGAAGGAAAAAATAATAGCATAGAGTTTCTTTTAAAAGAAAATTCCTTGCTTTAAGGTTCAAACTGCAGTTGCACTAAATTTTTTCTTTCAGCCATTGGCAATAGAGATCGCTTTCCTTGGTCTATGAATCAACTGTTACAACTATCATAAGCATTTTATCTTGATCCTCGAAAGGTATCTTTTTCTTTCATTCCCTACACTGTCTCATGACTCTTAAATTTAGTGAATAATATTGGCGTTCATGTCTCATCTCTAAATTTTCACCTTGAGTGTAGTGAAATACACTCAAATACTGGAGATCAAGAGATGGCTGACGCCGCCCTTTCCTTTGCGATTGAAAGACTTGGAGACTTGCTCATTTCTGAAGCGAAATTCTTGTATGGAGTCGAAGGCCAAGTTGACGAGGCACAGTCCAAGCTACGAAGGATGCGCAGCTTCTTAAAAGATGCCGATGCATTAATTGTGAGACGCGGAATGGATGCGGACAACAGAGTACGCCTTTGGGTTGCAGAAATAAGTGAATTTGCTCTTGCTTTAGAAGACGTTGTCGAAACTTTTGTCCTAAAAGTTGAATCTCGAAGGAAACAAGGTGTCAAGAATATATTCAAAAGGTTCGCTTGCATTTGGATTGAAGGATTTGAGCTCTATAAAATTGGATCAGAGATCGACCGAATTTTTACCAAATTTTCAACCATGACCTTAGATTTTCGAGCAATGGGCATCACGAAATTACCGGACAGCAAAGGAGAAAGTAGTTCTTCGAATTACCAGCTCCAAAGACAGTTGAGGCGAGCTTATTCTCATGTTGCTGAAAAAGATATCATCGGACTCGACGAAGATATCGAGAAATTGGCAGCGGAGTTGACGAAACAAGCTAATCCCCATCGAGTGATTTCTATTTGTGGGATGGGCGGTCTCGGAAAAACCACACTTGCTAGAAAGGTTTATCATCATCCTCAAGTCAAGCGTCATTTTGATCGCTTTGCCTGGGTATCTATATCCCAACAATGTGAAAAACGCGTTGTGTGGGAAGAAATTTTAATCAAACTTACTCCGAGCCCAACCAAGAAAAAAAGAGAAGAAATCAAATTAATGGGAGATGATGAAGTTGCCAAGGAGCTCTACAAGGTTCAGAAAGATAACAAGTGCTTGATTCTCCTCGATGATATTTGGACCGGTAATGATTGGAAACTTCTAGAGGCTGCATTTCAAGTACAAGAAGAGACAGAGAGTAGAATCATACTCACTACTCGTCACAGAGAGGTGGCTTCGTCTGCATATAAGAACCGCCTTCTCCATAAACCACGGTTACTCAATAAGAATGAGAGTTGGGAGTTGTTTGAGAAAAAATCTTCTTTCAGAAAACAAGGAACAAGTAATATTTCTCTCTTATTCTCATTTAAATTTGCCGCACTATTCATCTTCATATCTAATACATACCAATTTAAAGGCAATTTCTCTCTTCTTTCTCTTTTTTCTGTTTCCTCCATTGATAATTACTTATTAAAAATAGTAGACAAATAACCTACTTTATTTATTTATTTATTTTTTTTGCTGGAGTTGGTTTGCATATGTTTTGTTCCTTAGTTCTATTTATTATTTTCATAGGAACTATGTAATCAATTAATAATAAAATAAAGTTCTAAATAAAGTGAGCGGCCGAAAACAAAGTGTTGGCAAGACTTTTTTTTTTTTTTTAAAAAGAAAAAAGGTCAAATAAGTTAGATCTAATTAAGTAAAGCACATTTTAGAGAGGAACAAATATATATTTTAGTGGAAACATCTTATTAAGAAAATTATTTACAGATACTTATTGAAAAATAATGTTAAGAGGGTAGCAGTATATACATAAAACGTTAAAAAATTGAAGATCTCAAGAACAAAAATGTTGATGGACACGAAATTTGGATTTCATAAAAATGTGTCTTTGTAGAATATTATATGTATTGAAATAAATAGTGCACATTTAAGAAAAATAACATTGGTTAGAACAAAGTAGAAAAATAATAATTAAGCAGGATTCATTTGCGAAAATGATTTTAGTGAGGCCAACCCGGATCCAAATAGAAGCCACAGGATCCAAATAAAACTGTACTATACGTATTTACTAGCTTTTTTTGTTGTCTTGCAGATTTGAAATATAATGAAGAGATGAAAAAACTAGGAGAAGAGATGCTTAAACACTGTGATGGTTTGCCATTAGCCATTATTGTGCTTTGTGGACTTCTCTCAACGAAATGCACAATTGAAGAGTGGGACAAGTTGCGCGAGAATGTGAAAGAATATATAAACAAAGGCAAATTAGTGCATGTAGAACAAGAATACCATAGCGTTTCCTCTATATTAAGCTTGAGCTATGACGTGCTGCCATATCATTTAAAGCCATGTTTTTTGCACTTGACCCATTCCCCGGAAGATCAAGAGATAAAGGTCGACCAATTATGTTATACGTGGATAGCAGAAGGTTTCATTTCATCGGATCAACAAACACAGAGTTCAATGGATGAGGATGTAGCATATAATTACTTGACGGAGTTATTGGACAGAAACATGATTCAAGTGGGAAGATTGGGTCCAACTGGAAGAATAAAATCATGCCACATTCATGATCTCATGAGGGATATGAGTTTGTTCAAAGCTCGAGATGAAAATTTTTTGCAATTTTTTGATCTGAGGAGAAGAGACGTGGTATTGTCAAGAAATAAGGTACGGAGACTTGCCATCTATACTGATCGTGCTTTTGATGATTTACTTCCCTTTATTAATGGCAGAGATGGCTCTCTTAGGTCTCTCATATATTTTCAATCTTGGGGCCATAAACCTTCGGAGAAAGTATTGAAACTTTTTTTGAATCACTTTAAGTTCCTTAGAGTTTTGAGACTCGAAGCTTTTGGTTTATATGATTATTGTTCATGGGAGTTGCCTAAGAAGATTGGGAAACTTGTCCACTTAAGGTTGTTTAGTATTCGTGGTAGCGGTGTGCAAAAGATCCCATCTTCTATTGGGAATTTGAGATGCCTGGAGACTTTAGATTTGAGATCATTTAGAGGTTGGGAAGGTAATGTAGAAATACCAAATGTGATATGGAGGTTGGAGCAATTGCGACGTTTATACTTACCTATCGAAGGTAAGTATAATTTAGTCAGCAAAGATCATGTACGACTGCCTAAGAATTTATACTTGCAAACATTGTGCAATGTTTCCACAGATAGTGTTAATGTAAATGATTTTTTGCAACTGACTAATCTCAAGAAATTAGTACTCGTGGTGGGTGAAGACTTGGGGAGAATCTACCACAATTACACAGGCGTCAAATTTACTTGCGTCCGCTCTCTATCGTTGTTGGCTAAAAAATATATGTTCGGAGCTGAAGAAGACATTATACCTGTAATATCATGTTATCCTGAAATTTATGAGCTTAAAGTGCGTATGAGAATAATAAGGTTACCAGAAGAGCACCAATTCTCCCATAAACTTGAGAGGTTATCATTAACGAGGACGCTTCTCGAGGATGACCCAATGAGAACGATAGAAAAGCTACCCAATTTAAGGGCCCTCCACTTTGGTGATTACAGCTTTGTAGGGAATGAGATGGTGTGCTCAAAAGGTGGTTTCCCTCTACTTGAATCTCTTTCCTTTGATGGCTTAGTCTTGGCAGAGTGGAGGATAGAGGACGGAGCATTAACTAGTCTTTGCTATCTGAGGATTCGTGATTGCCATCGCTTGAGGAAGCTTCCAGATGGATTAAGAAACGTCGCAACTCTCATGGAAGTGAAGATCGAAGGGTCCTGCTTCCCGGAACTCAAAAAGAGATTAGAGAAAGGAGGAGAGGATTTCTACAAAGTCCAACATGTGCCTTCACTTGTAATCACTTAAAAGGTTAACGTAGTCCAAGTCCTTTTAAACTCAATATCCTAATTCTATGTCTACCAGACTTTGTTGGCACACTTCGAACAATAATTTTTATATTTGTCTGATATTTCTTATTTATATAACACCTTTTCGTAAACCTCTAATGTTTAATAATTTATCGTGTGTGCAGTGAGGACACAGAGTGGATATGAGTATATGTTTGAGTGGAGCTTTGACCAGAATAAGAGCTTGGATCTTGGGCCCCTGCTGCCATTATCGGAGTTTCTTCTTTGTTCCAAAAAATATATATTTTTAATTATGAATTAGTGTGCTTAGTTATATTTTTACCGTTGTTGGATATATATATATATATATATTTAGTTGTGGTTTATATTTAGTGTGCCATGAATAATATTTCTACTGTTGTTGAATTTATATCGGTTATTTGAACCTGATTTAGAAGTGTTGGGAGCTGTTGGGAGCTTTTGGTGTTCAGATTAATTAATTGTTAGCTTGTATTTTTCATTGAATGTTAGCATGTTTATATACACAACCTATTGAGTATTGATAGTATAAATCGAAACTAACTTTATATTTACAGCTAACGTCGAGAATCAAAAGCACATTAATTATAAGGAAATACAATTAAAGCAATATGATACGGAAATGAATTATATTATGTCTTGACATGTGTATATATGTTTCATTTTTCTTGGCTTTGTAATTCAAGCAAATATGATGAAGATATAGCACAATATTTGGAAAAAAAAAAAAGATGTACTGTTAGAATTCTAGATCTAATTTTTATTCATATACTACATTTGCAAACTTGTGACGCACGTCATAGTGGAGTCCTCGTAGTTAACCTTTTAAAGACAGTTATGTTAAATTTGTGAGTCAATTTTGATTTAAACTTGTTACCTTCATTTAGATGTCACACTTGAAAAGAATAGGAAAATTGAGAGAACAATGTGATTAAGTAATAATTCTTATCACCGTCTTTGTTATAGTTGTTACCCTGGTAAAAGAGTTCTCCTATTATCAGAAGAATTTTTTACATCTTTTTTTTTTTTTTTTCCTCAATATGCTTTTCATGGTTTTATATATGAGAATCAAAAAGGGCATAATTTTTCTTTGACTTGTGTATCATGCAACTTTAATCATCAATTTGGATCAAAACACTATAGAGTAGTTTGGCTTTTAAAAACAGTTATACTCTTGGAATTAGTTAGTTTCTTGTAGATATCAAAATTGAAAAGAAAAAGTAAAATTGAAACAATTTTAAGATTAAGTAACAATTCTTATTACAGTATTAATTATAGATTATACGGTGGTAAATAGACAATTTTAGTTGGAGGAATTTCTATTTTCTCCCATATTTTTTTGATCCTTTCTAATCCACCTTGTAGCATCAATTGGATCTAAATACTATAGAGCTGTAGTTAATCTTTTAAAGATAATTATACTCTCGTAAAGTAGTTACCTTCATACATACATACATGTATATATATATATATATAATTATAAAACTTGAAAAAATAGGAAAATTGAAACAAAATCATGATTAAGTAACAACTCTTATTATTGTATTAATTATAGTTGTTACGATGGTGAATAAACTGTTTAATTTTCTAAAGTATTTTTTTATATATTATTTTTTTTTACATCTTCTCCCATATTTTTTTCACTATGCACTATTATCTAGACTCTTTTCTTTCGTTCATTTCGTTTTTCTTCCCTCTTGCTATGGCTTACTCACGGTTGTTACTGTTACCGTCTTGAGGTTATTGTCGTTTTAGTATTCTTGTTCTCTTTCCATTGTTGTCGCTTTCCTCTATTATTGTTCTTTAGTTATTTGTTGTTTCGCTACCTTGTGTTAAATGACTTGTCGCTTCTGTTGTCGTTTTTGTTATAACAGGGCTTTATAGTCTTTGTTTGAGTTCGAAAGATTTACCATTGTAATTTGTTTGTGGCTATGCTATTTCCTCTCAAGCTCTTTGGTTCGAAGAAGACCAAATTCTCTTTGTTTTCAATTCTGATTTTGAAGTTGATTTTACTATCTAGATAAATATATAAGCTTTCTAACCAAGCTTAAAATCAGAACCAAATTAAAGTATTAATTTTATAGTTATATTGCTAATCAAAATTGACTAAATATAACGCGGAGTACTATTCAAAGAACACATGAGATTAACAAATACATGCGCAGTTGGTCTCTCTTTTTTCTTTTTTCATTTTTTTTTTTCTGTTCTCTTCTATAAGTATTTTCAGACGGGACGCGTAATATCAGCAAAATCAAAGCCCCCCCTCGTTTTATATATGTTTTAAGAAATTTCATGATTTTCAAGCAGAGACTAACCTCCTACTTTATCATAACTGATTTGATGTTGTTGTTTCATGTAATAGAAATTCAAGGCAATATTCATCCTTCTGGAAATATCTTCTTTTCTCTTTTTACCCTTTCATAACCTGGTCCCTCTGAAAATATGTTGTTGTTTCATTTATATATGTTTTAACCAATTTCATGATTTTTAAGTAGAGAATGTCCTTCTAGTTTATCATAAATGATTTAATGTTGTCGTTTGTAATGGGATTTCAATGCCATATTCATTCTTCTGAAGATATCGATTTGATCTTTGTGTGTTCACAGCATATGACAAAATGTATTTGTGTGTTCGGTCCCGAAATTAATATTAACTAGAGAACTCAGTTGGAGAAGTGAATGGGAGGTTCAAACTTTCCAAAACAGTTGGCGGAAATTCCTTTTTTTTTTTCCCTCATTATAAGTAAATTTTTCAATATGTAAACAGTCATTTCCCTCTCAAGAGAGGGCCAAGAGTACTCTAAACATATTTTGCTCCAAATCTACTTTGAATGGTTATCTCGAAAGTTCTAACAGGCACAACAAAGCATGAAAATAGAAAAACCTGTTTACCTTCATAGGTATAGCTAACTATTCTTGGCCTTTGATCCAATCCTGATCTTGCACAAGTTGGAAATGTAAACACATCTCCTCTACTAAAGCTTCGAATGTGAACTCCGAACTGCCATCATCAGAAGCATTATAAAAGCACAGCAATTGGTGCGCCAATTTGAATCACAGGATGGTCTTCAGTGCAAACGAAAATATTAACACCTGATAACTTGTTCGCCAGTGTAACGATGAACATAGGATCAAAACCATGAAAGTATATTAACTTACAAGAGGATCACATGAGGGATTATTCATATTAGATCTAAAAGTGGGTACAGGGTGAAGAAATGTTGTTAGTTAGCTGCTTTTAGGACTGCAACTTGTGTAATGACCGAGAAAAATTTAGGTCTAATCCGGACAGTCCAGTATTTGACCGAAATTCTTTCCGGAATAGTAAGTAGTAGAATTTTGAGGTAATCAAGAAAATGTTATGTAAAAACTTTATGTACGGGGTAAAATTTCCCGAAATATGTAAAGTTATAGTATATGTATCTATATATTATATATATAATTATTTCTAAGTATGTTTCATAAGAAATATTATTATTATATTCATTTATGCCTTAAGAACGTGAAGTGAAGGAATTAGAAGCCACCTTGTGTTATTTGCCTAAGTGTGGCCGACTAAGAAGAAAGAGAGAAAATTAAGTTACAGAATATATGTACATGTATATATATATATATATATGAAAGATTATCGTTAGGTATGGTTTAAAAAAAAAAAAAAAGGGAAGTCAAAAAGATTATTACCATGAGGAGTATATGTATTAAATATGCAGGGGTACACTTGGCTTTACTACATGAGGCGGTGACTCACATTGGTGACTCACGTGGGTAACTCACCTTGAAAATCACATAGGCTTGGTAACTCACGCAACTAATGCAAAACTTGCTGAGGCCATTACTCACGGTATGTACTTGTGAATGTAAGGCATAGCATAGCAGAGAAAAGGAGAGACGTGAGAGAGTTACGAAGAAAGAAAAAGAAGAAAGAGAGTTGTTAGAGAGAGACGGAGAAAGGAAAATCAAGCATTTTCATTGAGATTTCTTCCGTTTAGTCTGGTAGAAACGTAACCTGAGGCGTTCTAGCGGAAAAACCTCAACTTCTGGAGGTAAGATTTTAGAGTTTTCGTGAGAATTCTATATTTTCTTGATTTAGAGGAATAGTAACCCATCTCAGAAAAACTTCCGTTAAAGTGAAAATTGAAACTGAGGTTTTGTAGAGTATCATAATAACAATTTAACGGTGTAAGTGTTAAGACGATTGAATAAAGTTTTGGTGGATTTCTATCGAAAATCCATGAGCCTAGATTAAGAAAGAACATATGTTTTGTTCAATTTTATGTTGGAATCTGTGTTCAGGAATGTAAATCTTGACTCCAGGTACCGAAATCAGAAGTAGAACGAGTTATTAAAAACTCGGGAAATGAGAAAAATAAGGCGAAACTCTGCCAAAATTTAGTTCGAGTAATTTGAACTAAAACTGGATTTCAAGAGGAATATGGGATTAAAGTGTGAAAAGAAAGAT